TGAATATGTTACTTCAGGGTAAGAAAAATATTATTTTGTATTTTTTCCTAAAACTCTTTAGATTTTACATATTTATTATTAACTCACCTGAATATTTTTTGTATAATTTGTGAAATATGTCTCTATATTTGTTTTATTTCAAGTAATAGTGGTTCATGCACCTTATTTGTTGAGTAAGTCTTATTTTCCCCCTTGACAAATTTGAAATATCAATTTAATCATATATTACATTGTTAGAGATATACATTTATTTCTAGAATGCTCATTTTATTTCATTGATCTACTTGATTATTCCTGTGCTGGTGTCATGTTGTTTAAATTGCTGAGACTTTATAATGGATTTAAATTTGTTAATATTTTATAATGGATTTTGACATTTAAAAAAATAAATAAAATCAATCTGCATTAGAAAAAGAGAGAAAGAAAGAAAGAAAGAAGGAATGCCTACCTTTTGAAACTGCATGGATAGAACTGGAGAATATTATGCTAAGTGAGATAAGCCAGTCGATGAAAGACAAATACCATATCATCTCACCTATAAGTGGAATCTATTCAACAAAATAAACTATCAAACAAAATAAACCACAGGCAAAGAAACATGGAAGAGACTGAAAGTGACCAGAGGGGGTGGAGAAGGGGTACAATGGTGGAAAGAAGGTGAAGGGACTAAATAAAGAACATGTATGAATGACTCATGAACATGGACAACAGAGTGGAAATTGACTGTGGGAGGGGGGGCAGGGTGGAATGGGGGAGGAGGGCAAAGGGGGAGAAATTGAGACAACTGTAATAGAATAAACATGATTTAGAAATTTAAAAAATTTTTAAAAAGAAAAATAGAAACAAATTTAAAGGAGTGTGTCGTATCTCCCTACTCTGTCAAAACTTGATACTTAAACATGGATACCTCCATATCCTGAGGTATCTCCCACCAAACAATCAGCTTGATAACATAGAGGCTTTGGAAGAAGTCGGAATTATAACATGGCCTTTAAATCTTTCAAAATCTATGTATACAGTCATATACTCATTAACAATAGGGATACATTCTGAGAAGTGCATTGTTAGGCAATTTTGTCATGTGAGAACACCATGGAGTATACATACACAAACCTAGATGGTGCAGACTACTACAAACCTGAGCTATACAGTACACTACCTCTGTATATATGGTTAGTCACTTACAGAAACATTGTTCTGAGCAAGACTATATATACATTTCAAATGACTGATGCTGCTAAGTGTTTACCATCATGCTGTTTAAAAAAGAGCTGGAATTTCCACAACACAGACATCCTCTCATGCAGTCTCTGTATTGTGAAAAGCAACCCAATGAACTTTATTTTTCAATTATTAACCAATTTCCCTAGCACCTGACTTTCCTCAGTGAAGTACCTAAATATAGGTTAATTAATATAATAACATATCTTTTTCTAAAATATTTATAAACTGTACTTAGGGATGGCACTACAGTGATTTCATTGCATTCCTTTGGTTGTCTGTATTTCACAAGATGGTGGCAGTCACAAAAACCAGGGCACTGAACACGTGTGCGCAAGCCCCTCTCCACATGTCAAAAAACCAGCATGAGGTGATATACCTAGAAATGTAAGAAATATAAAAATAGGTATCTTTATTTCATTCCAGGTTCACAATGCTGGACCACCTATGCAGTGAACTCCTGGATATACCTTCTCTAAATCAATAAATTGAACACTTTAATGAACATTTCTAATTGTATTGGTAATATAAAATTTTGGCCTCAAAGATCATTCACTTGAACATGACTGACAGCAGTGAATTTTTATATTTAATTTTATATCATTCATTACTGTGATTTGCATTGCAGCGTTTTTGCCTGTCATGCAGAAACTTTTGTTTTAAAATATTACTAACATGCATTAGTTTCAAACATAACATCACATAGGCTGAACCAGTTATTACAGAATATCATCACATATTGTGTTAATAAGATGTATGTTTTATTAAATGATAGCCCATATTTCAGGACAATTTCTATTTATTCAGCTACTGAAAATGCTACAACATACATCCTTTTGTGAATATCCTTGTTTATGAGAAATACTATTGGAAAAAGTGCTAGAGATGATGTTGCTGGTTTAAAGGATATATAGACATAAGATTTTCAAGTACCACTGAACTATCTTGATATAGAGTGGGATGGTCCTGCTCTGAATGGCTGATGGGGGACCCTGAGGAGGTTTCCTAAACCATCCACTGAATGAGAAGTATGTTGGGGTGGACACCGCTCAGACCCAGCAGTGGAGGAGGGGTTACAGACTCCTGCAGCTCCCCAGGACCAGGAGCTAATGCGGCACCTTCTGTGAGGATCTGTCTTTTTTTATGTTCTAGGACAAATTTGGGGACAGTGTCCTTAAAAGAGGGTCTCTGGAGGGTATAGTTATAAAAGCTCAGGAGGCAGGACCGTGTGACCACAGCCAACAACAGTAGAGGCAATGGATCCCCAGGTGCCATGGAAAATGCTGGCAGCAGGTTTAGAAATAGAACCAAAGCCTTTGGGAGTGATGGCTGAGGGTAGGACATGGGGAGATGCTAGAGGAGTTCAGGGAGTGGGAGGTGGAATTCAACCAGATTGTCCTCAGCGTGACCCCTGTACCCTATACACCACAGCTCTACTAGCAACTCTGCTGTGGACTGAAGTCCAGGTTCCTTTCCTGGGTGCTGCAGAGGGGAAGAGCCAGGAGCACACAACTGGGCATCTCCAACTACTGTCCATGGGTGAGTTGGGGCTTTGGCTCCTGGCTGCAAAGGAACCAGAGCAAATTTCCTGGGAATGTACCTGGGTTTGTGCACTGTCTTCCCAGCATTGTCATCCGTTACTGGGAGAGAGCTAAGGGTTCCCTTGTCCTAGCCAGGAGTTGACAAGGGTACTAAAAAAGGCCTCAAGTTACCAAAAATCTGTCTGTGGCTGGGGAGAGCTTTGACAACTAAGTCTGGTATTTACACGTAGCATAAAAAAAAAAACTACTTTGAGTTAAAAATTGATACTGATCAACACAGTACCAATTATTATTTTAGCTTAAACAATACAAATTTATTATCTTCTGGAGCTCAGAAGTCTCACTGAACTAAAATCATAGTGTTGGCAGAGCTGCGTTCTTTCTGAAATCTCTAGAGGAGGTCAACCGAAACTGAGCCTTTTCTAATTTCCAGAGGATGCTTGCACTCCTTGGCTCACAGCACTCTCACACCCCCAAAACCAGCAGTCACATGACTCTAACCTTTGCTACCATCATCACATCTTCTTTTCTGACTTTGACTCTTCTACTTTTCTCTTACAAGGACCCTGTGATTACATTGGGCACATCAGATATTCCAGCATAATCTCCCCATCTTGATATCCGCATTTAAGCATATCTGCAAGACTCCTTTTGGCCTGTTAAGGTAACATATTCACAGGTTCTGGGGATCCAATTATTATTTTTATTACTTTTTCAATAAAATTGTGCTTTTTTTTGCATAATTTAGGACTTTGCAGACCTAAAGAGAATAAAAATACCACAGATTAGTTACTTTGGCACAAACACTTGGTTAAAATAGGAATTAGACACCACCAGTGAGTAATAAAATTGAGAGCTTTTAGTGTACACTGTTTATTTGGGTTTCATCTACAAACATGAGACATTTGTTCATTATAAATTAAGCAATATGAAATCCTAAAAAGCAAAAGCTCTCCAGTAATTATAGAACCCTATGAAAACTACCATTAGGTATATAAAGTTGTAATATTCTAAAAGCTTTTTTATTTATAAACACCCATGTATTCTTTTTATTTATTTATTTATTTACTTTTTAAATACATTTGTCAACACCCGTGTATTCTTTTACCTGCTAGTATTTCAAATGTAAAGGAATAGCCACAACATATACTCATGAAATGCGTAATGAATAATGATGTTTATTTAACAATGTAAAAAACCTTATTATTTACATTATCACATGATTAATGATACATTACATATACTTAAGTTAAAAGGGGCTCTTTCACATTATAAAATATCAAAGGGGTCAATGTTAAAGTTACAAAAAGACAACCTTGTCTTTGAGTTTTCATACACCTATACAAATTGGGTGGAATGTGCCTGCCAAAGTGAAGAAAAAGTAGAATTTCTATAAATAAAAAGGTAACAATTAAGGCTAGGTATTTGGTGAAGAATTTATCAGCAGATTAATCACAGCTGAAGAAAGGATAACTTGGATGATAGATGTGGGGATATGGCAGAGGGCTTCATGGGCAGCTGCATTGAGGGAACCTGGAGAGTGATACTGAGATATGGAGGAAGATGTTTTAGCCTCATGTATGTAATATATAGATAGTGTAATGGATGAATAATGTAGCTATATGGAGATACTAGGGATGATTAAGGAGAGTACTGGCCTGATCATCTTGTAAATTTCAGTCTAGTAGAAAATACTGATAACATTTAAGTATGTATAAATGTGATGAGAATTACAAAGGTATGTACATCATAGGTTTTTGAATAATATTACTGCAAACTACAGATTATTACACTGAGCTATTTGGATAGACAGAATATCGTTAGATAAAGAGAAAGTAGAAAATTCTTTTCAGATTACCAGTGAGTCTTTACCTCAATGTTTGTTTGGAAAAAGAAGGAATGATACCTGCAGCCTTGCATCAAATTTTACTTTTGTCAGAGACCCCTGTCATCTATTATTTCACTACCTAATCACAGTTCAGAAATAAAGCAAAAACCAAGGAATGTATTCTATGTCATGAATCATGGGTAATAATTTTCCCATAATGAATAAAGAACTGATATTTATGTTTTAATGTTATAACTATTTAATAAAACAGTAAGTGGACTTTCATGACATAGAAGGAAATTAGACCAATAAAATACCACATGCTCGTCTTGTTTGACAAGGCACAAGGAAAAAGTCTTCCTTAGATTGGGGTTCCCCAGCATACGAACAAATGCCCAATCTGTCTCTTGTCAGACGTGACTACAGCAAAAGACAGGCCTGAGACCAGGAGAGAAGGAGCAAGAAGAGATGCTACATATAAGGGAACTTTGAGCTACATCTACAAAACTCACAGTTCCACCTTCATAATCCAGGAATACTCCTACTGAACCAATAGGCTTTGGCACATACTGCAATACAAGTGGGGAGCTGGTGAAGATGTTATAGTGGATGCTGTTTTTAGCACAGCCAAGAAGAAAAAGTCCTTTCTCATCTAACTGGACATTCATATTCTCTTTCCAATAATCATTACAGACTCCAAAAGCCCAATTCCAAGAGTCTTCCACTTGTATCTCCCAGTAATATTTCCCAGGGGTAAGAGCCTGAGCACCCCATGCAAGAAAACACTCAGATCGTGGAGCAGTATGTGGTTCATTTCGGGAATCACATCCAACACTCAGGCTTCTGAAATCTCCATTTAGGAAGACATGACTATTAGCTCTTTCATACTCCAAAGTAATATTCACTACAAAAAGAAGGAAAAAAACAAACAAACGTGTGGACGTATTGTAGATAAATGTCCTCAGGCCAAAGTTGTTCTTTCCAGGTGTTACTTTACTATCAGGTCACAACAGCAAGAGTGATTTTGCTTGTCACATTTAATAAAGTTTAGAGATGACCAATACATCTGCAGAACAAACAAATCCCTAACCATAGACACTTGAATATTTTTTGAAATTCAAATGTTTAGGCTCAAAATATAAGGCTCACCTCTGCTAATTTGCTTTTCATAGCAAAACAGCCAATGCATACTATTCTCTGAACACGCTCCAGTTATCAACAATTAAAATCAGAATATCTGTTCTTTCTAAACAATCACATCATTTTGGAAAGGATGTGAAGGTTTGCTACAAGTCAAGCACTTCTCTAGATAACAATGAAAATATGTATATGTCTGCTTTAGAAGTGGTTTCTTAAAATGGATTTTTGCAAGGCCCTTCACCAGTTCCTCTGGTCCTCTGTCCTCACTTGAGGCTGCCAGCATTTTAAGATTTAACATGTGGCTCTTTAGATTATAAGTAGACTGAATTTTAGTGCATTTTTACTTTGTTTATAAAAATACTTATTCTTTTAACTTTTATATATTAATTCTAATTTTTACATTATATGAATTTCCAGTGTAAAAAAATACAAAGAAATCTGACAAGCTCCAGTGTTTTATATACCACAAAAACTGCTCTTAACATTTAAAAATTATATATGCACTGAAAAAAATGTACAATTTTGTATATAACATTGCATAATTAACCTTAAATCTGAGCATTGCTCCATTTACTAAAATGTTCATATCTGATATCATTCCTTTACCCATTAGTTTACTATTTATGAGTCCTGATCATATTTCCCTTTTTCACTATCTTTCACTCTTCATATTGTCAATGTGACTGTAAAGACATGTTCAGTTATGAAAGGATTACATAGTCATGTGACCCACTTATGTCTTAAAATGAGTAACACACTTAATAAAAGAGAAAAGATTACCTGCATGATCCTAACAACAAATAATAGATTATGGAAATGTGGCCAATGGGCCTACCCTTACCTCTGAAGCAGCTGAGCTTTTCAACCAGTCCAGAGATGGGCCCTCCACTAAGCTCGGGATTCACAGCCTGGGGCATGTGCTCCCTCATGGCCTCACTCCTGCAAGAAGGAAGGTGAGGCTACCATGTCTACAGTCAAACTATAAAAACGCTGTTTTCATTTATAAGACCCTTCAATAGAGTTCTTTCAATCTTTTAGCTTGAAAATCAAAAATTATCATGTTGCCAAATAATTTTTATTCACAGTTCTTTAATTTTCCAGTATAATGAAAAGTCTATTTGAGTCAGAATTCAATCTAATCTTTTCTCATCTTGCCTAGGAATTTGTAAAGATCCTTAGTCTCTTATGCCCTTGAGAATATTCAAGAATGAAATTCTAAATTCCAGTCCTCATCAGACTTCACTGAAATGCTCCCTGTCTGGAAATGCTGAAGTTTCTCTGAAGACTAATGGGATCAATGTTGCATGCTCCTCAAGGTAGAGGCTGTGAAACTTTTCCAAGGAAAGGCAACCTGCTTCCTAGTGCTGAGCTGTGCTAGGGGCCTTGCATACTCACACTCAGAAAACTTGTTTCATCTATTTTTCACAACTATCAACTGCTATATAAAGAGACAACAAATCACCAGGGCTTTCTCACTGCTGCATATTTCCTCTGCCCTGCTGGCTGTGCCTCTGAGGTATTTGACTTTCTCGTCACTCAGAAAATTTAGCATCTTCTCCTTCACATAGGTAGGCTTTCGAGAACTAAAAAGAAAATCAGGAATGAAGGGATTTTCTTTTAGTTTTTTTTGTTAGTTTTGCAACTTTTCCATTGAAACTGCCAAATGAAATCAGTGAGTACAGCAACAAAAATAGATGTCTACATGGAGTGGTGGAGAGGAAAATAGATTCTGGGAAAAAAATTGAATCAATATCCCAATAAGCTATGCCTTCACTTTAGCATATCCTGCCTGGTATCTGTGAAAACTCTGAAAAAGCATCAGCTAGCGTCAAGGGTCACACTCACCTATCCAATATGTCTCCAAAACCCTGTGAGGAGAAAAATGGAAAAGTTTAATGCTTTTTACAAATGACTCTTCCACTAAGACCAGTGTGAGATTTTGAGACAGTTCCAGAAGTTATTTCCCCACTGTGTTCCTTCCTGGGAAATGTATCTATTTCTTCTCTTAAAAAAAATCCCAGTTTACCACATTGTCATAAATTAATGTCTTGCTGGAGGCTGATTATTGGAGACTTCCCCTGTGCAAGTGAAGGGGGGAGAGACCTGGGGAGTCGCTGTGCTGTGCTGTAGCTAAGATTAAGTGTCCAGCATCTTTCCTATTTCCAAAGCGGGTGGACCCGAAAGTAACAGCAATGCAAGTCTACATTCCCAAATCTTTCTATTTTGTCATATGTATGAATTAACCTAAATAAATGTCAATTAACAACCAACCACTTTGTGAATTTTCACAAAGCTAGAATCTATCACTGACTTTCAGATGGGGAATATATCTCAGGACTCCTTAACCATTCCAAAGTTTGGTTTCTCATGGATAATGTAGGAGTGATCTTTGGTTTGTGCGGTCCCTTGGAGAAGCAATATCCTCCCAACAAAGTAACTGAACTTATGGAAATAGGGTTTTGGGGAACAATCATATAAAATAGGGGGTGGATTTCACCTGGAAGAATACTAGTGTATGAACGTCTAACACCCCACTTCTCATTTCTTACCAGGAGCAGCTCTATATCTGGTTTATGGCACATTTCCTTCAGCTCTTTATACACTCCTCTTAAGAGTTCCCTCTTGTGAGCCATCTTGGCTTTACTTTCCTTGAGTTTCTGAAAAATCTCCTTTCCTTCCCTTTGCAATCTCTCTAAATGATGTTGCTCCTCATCGTGGAGAAAGGGAGGCATCTTCCCATACTCAGCACTGATTTCTTCTCTCTTTAAATTCACATAATTCTGCAATGACAATGACTTAGTAAAAACATGAACACTTCTATCCATCTCCTACTGAATCTTACTGATTCTTCTTTGCCTCATGAAGAGCAACTATATTTAACTTTTAACCCTCAGTCTTTCCAATTATCAGAACCCAAAAAATTTTCTATTTCCTCTTTTCTACATTAAGATCAAAATATTTTTATTCAAACAATTATATCCACTTAATTTGTAATGAAGTGGATGATGAGACAATCACAAAGAAAGAAAATTTTTGGTTTCTATCTTCATTTAGAATGGAAGGGCAGATAAAGTGCTTCCCAGATAAGGGAAAGTTAAAGAAGTTCATCAAAACCAAGCCCCTATTATATGAAATGTTAAAGGGACTTATCTAAGAAAAAGAAGATCAAAACTATGAACATTAAAATGCCAACAAACTCCAACTATCAAAACAGCCTAAAAAACAAAAACAAAAACAAGCTAAGCAAATACCTAAGACAGAAACAGAATCACAGAAATGGAGATCACGTAGAGGATTATCAGTGGGGAGAGGGAGGAAAGAGAATACGGGAAAGATACAGGGAATAAGAAGCATAATTTGTAGGTACAAAATAGGTTAATAATAGTATAGGAAATGGGGAAATCAAAGAACTTACATGTATGGCCCATGGACATGATTTTAGGGGGGAAATACTGGAGGGAGGGGGGTGCAGGTCAGAGGGGGATAAATGGGAGGGAAAAAATGGGAAAACTGTAATAGGATAATCAATAAAATACACTTAGAAAAAGAAACTTTGTGATTTCTATCTTCCAGCCAATATGTGTAAGAAGACAACACAGTTTATTCATAAAAGATGCACTTTAGATTTATGGTGATTGGATTAGAATCCATTATTTAGACTGATTTCTGAAATTTGGGGCAAGGTAGTTAAATCCATTTTATACGCTCTGACTTCAGACCTATATATTCATCCCCTTGCATTTCATCCACCTAAATCTTGTTTTAATAAAGTTTCATTTACATCTGACCTCTGTTATCGCTTTGACTTTGCTCCCCTTCATTCTCCTCCTAATTTACTCTGATACCCTTTGTGGCTTTTCAAATGCCCCAAATATACCCTCCTGCAATACCTTTGCACGTGCAATTTTCTCCACCTAGAATGGTCTCCCTGTACACACCCTTATGGTTGCTTTCCTCTTCGGAGGTCTCTGCTGCAGTGCAAAGTTTTCAGTGACGTCTCTCTGATGATCCATTCCATTTAAAACTCAAACCCTCCTCTCCAGTCCATACCCTCCTGTACTCCTTTTCTCTTTCCTGCTTTATTATTCTACAAAGAACTTATCACACTCTAATGCATCTTGTATTATACCTATTTGCATGTTGATTGTTTGCCCCTCTGATTTAGCCTGTAAGTTTCATTAGGGCAAAAATTGTTTCTATTTTGTGTACCACTACATTTTCTAGGTCTGTATTTGGCACAGACTAGGTGCTCATGAAATATTTGCTGAGTGAATTCATATTAGATATCACACCTTCAAGGTAACCATCCAGAATGAGGAAATCACTTATTTTTAAATTCTCCTAAAGCATTCAGACACTTCCTTCTATTTAAATACATTATATATTATTCAAAATTAATTAATTGGGTTAAGTTCAGCGTTTCCCTAGATTTGACACACTGTTCTCTCCTGAAATTTTCCATGAGTTTTCAAATATTACTTATCCACCAACATTCTCATTAATGCTTACACTGCCTTAAATGCTTCACCTGAATTTCCAATGAGTGCTAAATGTCTCCTGTGCCCCATATTTGTCCCCTCCCATCATATATGGCACTCTGTGGGATGGCCCGGTTTCTTATGGTTGTTGGTACAGAAGTAATAAACCTTGTTTATCCTGGGAACAAACCAGAATGCTTTGGGTAATAGCTGCCATTTAGTTAGAGGTCTTGACTAAGAGCCCCACTATTGTATGCAGGGTAAACACCCTTTTCCTCATGATCGCCTCTTCCCTGTTGAACTGCAAAGACCATTGTGTTAGATTAAGATCTTATTTATTTATTTATTTATTTATTTATGTATTAAATCCTCACTCAAGAATATGTTCATTGATTTGAGAGAGAGAGAGAGGAACACCCATGTGAGAGAAAAATTGAGAGGTTTCTTCCCATATGTGCCCTGACCAAGAATCAAACCTGCAACCTTTTGATGTGTGTGATGAAGCTCCAACTAACTGAACAACCTGGCCAGGGCTAAGTTCCTATTTTAAATGTCATTCATACATCTACTCCATTTTCATACTGCAAGTAGGAGAAGTGCAGTACTGACCTCCCAAGATCTGGTTGTGATAGTTTCCACATTCAGGTTTCTGTCATTTTCACAAGATTTATTCCACAAAGAGTGCATTTTCTTCAAGAGCTTTTCCTGCAAAAGAATTGCAAATCAATCAGAGCTGGTGAAGAGGATAATATAACATTTAAACCTAATACAGGGAGGACCTTCCAAATAAGAGATAAATCAGTGCCACTAAAAACAAAGGGATCACGTATTTGTCAAATCTGGGAGGCTTCAAGACTAAGGAACTCCAGGAGAGAGATTCTGAAAGGGACACCTGGATAGTGTTATCCAATCCCCAAGGAAACAGACCCACAGGGACTTCATACACACTTTACAGAAGTGGGTCTTCAGAGGCAGGGCTCACCCGGTGTTCCTCAGCAGCCTCTTCTATGGGGCGGTGCCTGTGAGCCTCGTGCTCCTGCGCGCTAGAGCAGCGCACACAGAGCAGGCTCCCGTCGTCTTCGCAGAAGATCTGCTTTGTCTCCTTGTGCAGCCCACACCTATAGTGCTCGGAACTCAGGAATTGCTGCAGGCTGGCTTTCCTGACAAGGAAACTCAGTTTCTTGATACAGATATTTGTTTTAAAGTCTCTCTGCTGTGTTGTTCCCTTGCATACAGAGCAGTGAGCAAGAACTGAGGTGTCCTGCCAGCTGAGGTAGACACAGGGCCTGCAAAAGCTGTGCCCACAGTCTATGGTGATGGGGTCTATGAAGTAATTCATGCAGATGGAGCAGGTGAGCTCCTTCTGGAAGATTTTCATGATACTGGAATCCATGTTTCTGGGGAAGAATTAGAAATAGGTTGTTTCTGGGCCTGGGTTGGTGAGAAGCTTCTGAACAATTATGTGGGGGTATCAATATCCATACTTTTCTTTGCAATACTCACTGAAGCAAGACAAATGCTATGTATTCTGTACACAAATGAAAATCTAAAGTCCAAGAAAGAGCCCTCAGGCTTTATAGCAGACATTCTGACTAGGCTGCTCACAACACCTTCCATACCCAGTTCCTAGTCCCTAACAAAATACAAATTTGTGCAAGTATCCATTTCCTAGATGTGGATATGGAATTTGGGTGATGGTCTTAATTGTTCTAAATAAGAATTATCCCCATTCCTCTTTTTAATAACTTGTGAGTGCAGAAGTGGAAGATGTACCCCATTAATCCATTTTCACCAATAAATATGAGAGGAAGGTGGCCAGAAGTGTTCTATAAAATGACTTCAGAGACAGGGCCATGGAAACCCAGCTCTTTCTTTTCAAACACACAAGTAAGTAAACAAACAAAAACACAAATTGAATTAATCTAGATTCACTAGAAAAGAAATGATGGAATAAATCAGGCCTTTTCTTTCTATTCTTGAGGATTAAGTTGACTTCTACCTCCACAAACTCTGAACTGACATTTTTTTAAATGTGTATATATGTTATCATTACAACAGTATATAATATGTCCTATAAGTATTATGTTCCATATTCCTGGCAAGAAAATAGAGGCTAAAAGTTAACATTTTTCTTGATATTTTGAATAAAAAGCATGGATTTATTTTAAACTAAAATATGTATAATTGTATTGCAATACAAACTTTATTTTCACAGTTCTAAGGAGTTAACTTTTCTTTCTGAATCAAGGTGAAAAGTGAAAAGATCAGGATTGCCAATAGATTTCAGAGGCTAGTCAGAGTTTACAGGAGCTTTGTCATAGTTCAATAAAATGTAAGTCTAATGTTAAATAACAACCAGCATCATATGGAAAAGTATGCCTTGATATAAATTTAATTGGTCAAACAATTGGGTTCTGATTTCTAAAATAAGGAATTTTAGAGAGCCCTCTTATTCCCCTTATATCTGTATCCCTAATCATTTTCTAAATAACTTAAAATCAGGTCTGGAAAAAAAATCAGGTCTAAAGCTAAGTTATGAAGGGACAGTTTATAGTATTCAGTAATAACATCTTTTTAATATATTCATTAAATATGTGTGTATGTATAAATATATATTTCTATGAACACCATAGGTTCTCTATGCATGCATACCTATAGCAGCAAACACTGGATATTTTAGATACTTTGCCACAGAAGTACATAATATTTGGCAACTACTTTCTGAGTCATAACAGTATGTCAAACAACCACAAAATACACAAAATAGCAACAATTTGTATCTTAATAATTCATAAAATGCATATAAAGAATATGAGTTATAAATAGTATAATTTAGCAGGTTTAAGATGAAATATTTTTAGCACCCAAGTGGAATGAATTTCTTTGATATAAGTTGCAGTCACGCCTGGGTTCTATGAATGGTTTCCTCAAGGATTGTTCCCAAAATAATTCTGTTAAACATACCTTGGGAGTTCACTGGCTGCAGCAGTAACTTTCAGAAGTCTCCACAATACAGTCAACTTAACCGCAGTCTTTCTCCTCTAGAGAAAAATGAACTTGTCTCTTTTATTAGAATCTTTGAAGATCAGACTTACCTCTTTAGAGGGATTGTAAACACCCAAATATTTAGCAGGGTGACAAAGATGTTTATGCCACATTAACAACTCAATTTTACTCCACTGATTAAATTACACCAGGCTTTGTTTCTAAAAACAACTGTTTTAATGATGCATCTGAAACATAAATACTATCAGAGTAGACATTTGCTCAACAATTATCTAAGATTTATTTAATATTTATTGAGTTTTTGTAAGTAGCAGACATTCCTCTTAGTGATCTGCTAATCTATCTACAGGATATTCCCTGGAGTAGATCAACAGGAAGTACTGCCTAAAATTTCAATTATTTTCCTTTTCAAATACTTAGAGGAAATTGCTAATTATCCAGTACTTGGGGACTATTATCAAATTTAAAAAAGTTTTGCCAATCTCATGGGTAAAAAATAATTCTTATTATTTGGTTTTCTTTCTTTTCATAGTTAATTAGAGTTGACATCTTTTCTTCTTTATTGGCTGTTTAATTTTCTTTGCCATAAATAAGCTCTTCATAAAATTGCCCATTTTTCTATTGGGTAATCTATTTTTTATTTATAAGTACAGATTCTTCATTGCATTGTACCAAAAAAATTTCTTTCTAAAATGACAGATGTTACACACGCAGTAAATTCCACTTTTTCATGGTAGTTGCACAAACACTCTACTAGGAAGCACTGAAGCATCATTTCTAGCAAAAATGCAGAGTTAGTTCTCTCCAAGCATCTGTTCACATTTCCTTCTATCAGTTAGTGCATGACCTTGTTTTATGTGTGTTTCTATTAAAGACACCTTATTTAGAGATTAACAGCTGAAGGAGACAGCCACAGACAGTAGATTCCTGGAAATTTAGAACAGACTGCCTATGATCAGACAGGGACAATATCTGACATCATCAGAGGCAGATCCAGAAAGGAAAAACAGCAGTCTCCTACCATAGAAGTTCACACCACAAAGTCAGGAAATCAAGACAGATCAACTTAAGAAGGAGAAGCAAAAGAGAAGAGTCTCACAAATAATGGGAAGACAAACAAATATGCCCCACTCTAAGGGAGAGGAGGAATCCCCACAAAGAGAAATAAATGAAATAGAAGCAAGTAAACTATCAGATATTGAGTTCAAAACAATGGTTCTAAGGAAGCTCAATGAGCTCAGTGAGCTCAGAGAGAATTACCAAAAACTACAGGGAAATTATGAGGAACTTACTGCAAACTATATCAGCATGAAAAAGGACATAGAAGCTATTAATAAGAGACAAGAGGAAATGAAGAATACAATTTCTGCAATGAAGAACACAGTAGAAGGAATCAAAAGCAGGCTAGATGAAACTGAGGACCGAATCAGCAAGTTGGAGGACAAGGTAGAAAAAAGCTCCCAGAAAGAGCAAGAAAATGAAAAAAGAATCAAAAAGAATGAAGGGACATTTAGGAAAATGCAGGACAACCTGAAAGGTAATAATATCTGTATAATAGGGATACCAGAAGGAGAATAGGATGAGGAAGGGATAGAGAACCTGTTTGAAAAAGTAATGATGGAAAACTTCTCTAATTGGAGGAGAGAAGTCACACAAGGCCAAAAAGCACAGAGGGTCCCATTCAAGAAGAATACAAAGAGGCCCCCTCCAAGACACATCATCAGTAAAATGGCAAATATCAAAGACAAACAAAGAATCCTAAAGGCAGCAAGGGAGAAAGAGGTAGTAACATATAAGGGAGCCCCAGTACAGCCGGCAGCTGACTTCTCAACAGAAATGCTACAGGCCAGAAGGGAATGGCAAGAAACATTCCAAGTAATGAAAAGCAAAGGTCTGCAACCAAGACTGCTCTACTCAGCAAGGCTCTGAATTCAAATGGAAGTTGAAATAAGGAGTTTCCCAGACAAAAGAAGGCTAAAAAAATACACCTCCACCAAACCAGCACTGCAAAATATGCTAAAGTGACTGCTTTAAGATGAAGAAAACATTTCTATGAATACCTTTCCTTTCAGAGTTGCCAATACTTGATATTACCAATATTTTTAATACTTATTAATCTGATTGTGACAATGATGTTATTTTAATTGTTCCTTTACTATTTGTTGAAACTAAACCTGTTTTTGTATATTTCTTGCCTATTTCTATTATTTTGAAAAAGCTTTAAATGACTTTTTGGTATTCTTTACCTATTTATTGATTAAAGGTTTGTAGAACTCTTTTCCCTAAAAACAAAAACAAAAACAAAAAAACCCTATTAACCATGTTTTAGATGTTTTGCAAATACTTTTCTATTCTAAACCTTGTCCTTTAACTTTTTTATATGTATATTACTATATAGTGTTAAATGTTTAATATAGTCATATTGTCAATATTTACTTTAGAGCTTCTGGGTCTGAGTATTTTACATCAGGTCATGAAAAATATTAGTTCTATTTTCTTCTAAAATTCCTTAGATTCTACATATTGATTTTTACCTCGCCTGAATATTTCTTATATATTGTGTGAAATAGGGCTCTATATTTGTTTTATTTAAAGTAATAATGGTTAATGCACCTTATTTGTTGAATAAGCCTTATTCCACCTATTGATTTGAAATATCAACTTAATCCTATATTGTATTGTTAGACAGATATTTATGTTTGTCTCTAGATGCTCATTATATTTCTTTGGTCTACTTGATTATTTCTGTGCTGGTGTCATGTTGGTTTAATCTCTGAGATTTTTTAATGGTTTTAAATTTTTTAATATTTTATAATTAACTTTGACATTTAAAAAAATAAAATCAATCTGCATGAAAGAAAGAGAGAAAAAAAAGAAAGAAAGAGAGAAAGAAAGAAAGGAAGAGAGAGAGATAGAACTCTTACCTTTTGCAACAACATGGATGGAACTGGAGAATATTAAGCGAAGTGAAATAAGCCAGTTGATGAAAGACAAATACCATATGATCTCACCTGTGAGTGGACTCTATTCAACAAAATAAACTAACGAACAAAATAAACCACAGGCATGGAAACATGAAGCAGACTGAAAGAGACCATAGGGGATGGGGAAAGAGGACAATGGTGGAAAGGAGGGGAAGGGACTAGACAAAGAACATGTATGAATGACCCATGGACATGGACAACAGAGTGGGAATTGATTGTGGGAGTGGGGGGTGGGGGTGGGATGGGTGGAGGGGGGTAAAGGGGTAAAAATTGAGATAACTGTAATAGAATAAACATGATTTATAAGTTTAAAATAAAACAAAATAAAAATAAAGACACCTTATTTAATATACATTATTAATTCATTAACATTGAATTCATGGCTAACAGCACTAGGGCTCAT